AACTTCTATACAACGAAAGGAGACTGCGACCACACAAAAGGCCACACCATCTTGGTCTTCATATCTTAAAAAAATGTAATTCATTTAAATGACAATGACAAGTATAGGCCTTTACCGAGAGACCCAACAGGAAGACTTAAGACTAGACTAAAGGATGCCCTTAAGGTATGCATAAGTAATGGTGAAATGGAAAAGTGGAAAATGAATTCACTACTCCAGAGAGATGCAAGGGTCCCCACGGTTTACGGTCTCCCTAAGGTGCACAAAAAGGATGTCCCGCTAAGATTAATTGTAAATAATAAAGGATGAGTGATGCATAAAATCTCACAGTTTTTATGCATACAACTGAGGAACTCTGCCAATTATTGGCTGTATTCAGTTAAAAATTCGTATGATTTTGCTAGATCAGCAGACACTTTCAGAAAAGGTTAGGTTAATAAGTTATGATGTTTATAGAAAGCCAACATATGTTGGCTCTGCTTAATTTTCTTTCCCTGGCCTTTTGATAACTCTGATATAGGACCGGTATTGCATATAGACGCTAGCACATACATACACACACGCATACACTTGAGTAAAAGTAGCAGAACTATGAAAGATAGTCAGCCAAACCAGTCTATATCTATGTAGGTTTGAATTTTCGTTTGCTTAGTTGAGTCTATGTAAGAGGTAAGTTGGAGCTGGATAGTCTTCTTGCTCTAGTGTTAACGTGAGACTTTTACAGCTATGATGATGTCAATCATATGATGAACGAACGCTCAGTCCGTTTTCATTCGAAACGAGGGAAGAAGTCTCGTGAACTGCGTCAACCTGAACACCGCATAAAAGCCAAAACGGCTGCAGTACAATGGGATTCATCGGTCATCTTCCGGTGAGATCGACCTACGAATATCTTCTTAATTAACTTTCATACGAAATGAAAGTGCCCCCAACAGAGCATTTAAGTGGGAAAGTGTGAAGAGTGCTCCATTGCCCCTCCTTGAGCCGTCGTTAGTCTTTGTGACCGAACGCTGACCTCTTGCACCAACACCACATTCCAGCATCATCTGAGATTTTACCACATCGAGGTCCTCACCTGTAACTTTCCTTTTTATATACAAGGCATTCTGTGATTCGTTCTCTTTTTTCTCTATACAAGGCTGTGGTAGTTAATACTGTAGGGCGAAGCCGAGCACATATCTATGGTGAATATTTTTCTGATGCACTAAACTGATGAGTCCGACAGCCAAACTCTTAATAACAGCTCTAATATTTAATCATGTCGTTCCAGTCCATGAGATAAGCCACCTCTACTGAAGAAAACAGCCAGATTTCTGTAATAGGTGCGGTAAAGTACTCACTTTTAACAGATCCATTCCATTCGTTACTCATCGGGTCAAATCACATGAAGCCAAATTCCCTATTATTTTCGAACATCTTCTTGATGATATTGCTAACCTTACCCAACATTTGCTACGTAATAGGCAGGACAAGGATTGCTTAGAGGCTCAGGCAGAAGATCTTTTAAGTCCCTACACGTTCAGAACAACAGAATGAGATCTTTATTAGAGGCTGAGGTTTTAGATCAGAAACCATCAGTTCTTTTAGCTCGCTTATAACATTTAGGTTATGATCCTCAAGTTGAATCCATATTGCGCAACGTATGGATGAAAAGACTCCCTATTGAAGTTCAGATTGCCTTGAATATCGCAAGAGGCAAAGTTTGGAAGAAACAGCTAAGACTGCGGATGACGCGATAGAAGTAATCAATCAACCAACACCTTATGTTACCGCAATACAAGATAAGCGCACACTCGCATTTGAGACAACCAGATTATAAAGACGGATGATTCAACCTAGAATGAGTTGCTGAGCAAGTTGCCATCCATAGCCAAACCTGTTATTGAAATGCAGCCAAATGTATGTTCAATGATCTATCCCATCATCATCTGGTGATTCCCCCTGAAAAATGTTTTGGGCATCGATTCCTTTACTTTCCTCGGACATCGTATTGATGCTCTCAACATGCTAACAAATTAAGACTTTTTAGTATCAAAAATTTTTAGCTTCCACGCACCATTAAAGCTTTAAGAAGTTTTCTCAGTGTGGTAAATTTTTACCGTCGTTTCATTTCCAACTGTGCAGACATGCTAAATTCTTTGGAGTATCTAAAAACCCCGAAAAAGGACATATTCTTATCCAAAAACGCGCTGCGCATTTTCGGACACATTAAATCAGCCCTTGCCAAAGTGATCATGTTGGCACATCCCGATACAGACGCTGATCTTCACCTCTTGACGGATGCCTCCGACCGGGCTGTGGCTGGTGCCCTCTATCAGATTGTTGATGGAGCTCATCAGCCTCTCGGTTTCTACTCTCGAAAACTCAATGCAAAAGAGCAGAGATACAGCACCTTTATCCACGAACTCTTGGCGGTCTATTCATCAGTGAAATACCTCACATGTATGCTAATTCGAAAGCAATTTCGCGTTTTAACTGATTACAAACCTCTGTCCGGAGCCTTTAAGAGCGCTTCAGACAAGTATTCCCCGCGCGAATTCCGCCAGATGGACTACACCTCACAATTCACCAGCGATGTGTGCTGTGTAAAACGAGCATACGTCGCAGACACCCTCTCCAGCATTGACATGGTTTCCGTTGGCTAACGCTAGAATTTATTATCAAGCCATGGCAGAGGCACAGGAATGGGAACGCAGTCAAATCACCGCTTGCCAATGGCCCAAACTAACGATGACGCAGGTAGAGATTTCTGGTGTGATTTGTAAACAGAAAAACATCGCCCTTACGTTCATTGCGCCATGCGAAAATTATTATTCCAAGCCTGTCATGTTTTGGCGCGTCCAGGAAACTAATCACAAGCCGTTTCGTCTGGCCAGGAATGCAAGCAGACTAAAGCCTGCCCAGTTTGCCAAAAAAACAAGGTGCACAGACACATCAAAGCTCCTATTGGTTGTTTCCGATAGATTCAACCACATCCACATGGACATTGTTTGCCCTCTTCTGCCTTCTAAGGAATACCGCTAACCTTTTACCATTATAGACCCTTTCACATGATGACCAGAAGCCATTTTAATGCCAGACATACAGGAAGAGACAGTTGCGAGAACCTTTGTCATTCACCGGGTTTCAAGGTTTGGCACACCTGCCACCATCATAAGCGACAGAGACAGGCGGTTCGAATCCAACCTTTTCACCAAACTATCCTTATTATTAGGAATGAAAAGGATTCACATGCGCCTACCAGAAGCAAGCTAACGATTGAGTAGAACGCTTTCATCGGCAGTTAAAAGCCTATCTGAGATGGCAGAGGAACCCGGACAAGTGGACAGACAATTTGCCTTTAGTCATGTTGAGCATGCGGACCACGGTCAAAGTGGAAACCAATTGCAGCCTATCAAAAATGGATTAAGGATGTCAGTTACGATTACCCAATGATTTTGTTGATCCTACTAACATTGGAGAACCATCTGCTGATTGCGTTAGAAAGGAAGGAAGCTAAGTAGCATATCTTTCGGGCCAACTACCTGCAAGTTGGAAGTGCCTAAAGACCTTAAGATTTGCAAATACGTCTACGTTAGAGTAATGCCACCCTTATCTGCACCATAAAGTGGCCCCTTTCACGTCATCTCCAGAGACGACAAACATTTTACTATATTAATAAAAGGCCATCGTGAAGTGGTAAGCATAGACAAACTCAAACCTGCAAAAATCGACCAGTCAGAAGACATCACAATAGCAGAGTATATAGAGCAGACCAAATTTGAGGAGAAAATGAATATAGTCCAAGTATGTTATGCAGCTGGGAAAAAGGGGATATTTTGCATTGGGAGCCTAATGCAATCCTCCTTTTTTTCGAGTCTATCCCTTTTCGGATTAGCCAGAGAGAGAGTATTGTAATGACTTTACTCCACAATCAGTTGGGCTACATTTCACGGTCATCTCTCGACGCATGCAACATCAAGCGGGAAATGACTCATCGGCACTGTCACACGGGCACTAGGCGAATATAATACCACATCGAGCCTCTCCTTTGAGCCAATCAGAAAGTGGCACTAAAGGTACACAAGTGTATTTTAAGCTGGAAACTAGCTCGACTGTGTACAGTGCTCCATTGCCCCGCCTTGCTCCGTCGTTAGTTTTGGTGACCGAACGCTGACCTCTTGCACCAACACCACACTCCAGCATCGTCTGAGCTTTTCCCACATCGAGGTCCTCACCTATAGCTTTCCTTCTTATATACAAGGCACTCACTGATTCGTTTTCTTGTTTCACTATACAAGGATGTGGTATTCCATACGGTGGTGCGAAGCCGAGCACATAACTGCAGTAAATATTGTTCTGATTCACTAAACGCTAACTACTACGCCACACTGTCACAAGAAACCTTGGATACTAATGCAAATGTGAATTTTAAGGTAGGATGAGAGTATCTTTTGAAAAGCAAGTTTATGTGAAATTCAATGGAATCATGAGTCCTACTCGTGGCATTATGGGAAAATTCAACTACCAGTCTTTCAGACATCACTTGTTTATGAGAGAACGCCTTAGCATATAGGTAAGTTAGACAAATATAGTACTAAAAAAATCGTTTTTGGTTATTGAATTCATGTTGAATCTGTACCAATTCCTAAACAGATAAAGCAGTATTTGCTTCGATCATGACAGCTATGTATGATCATATAATAAACCAACGAAGACGCTTCAATCATGCAAGGCTATATATCGGCATCCGCGAGCCATCCCGGAACTTAAACTGAAGATATAAGGTTATAAAAATAAATAAAATCGAAGAATTATGGCAAAATAGGACTCTAAATCATTAAAAACCCAATAACCATGTGTCCGAATAAAAATAAGTTAGGCGCAGCGAGAACAAACATCAAAAAAGGATTGGAAGATAGAACACTTTTATGAAACGAGGGTAAGAATGGAGAAATAATTTAAACGAGCTCAACATTAAAAATGATAGAGACAGGTATGGAGAATACCAGTGTTATGGGTTCCACAAAATTGCATTGTCCAACTCGTAGTAAGCATTTCTTAAGAAGCGATACCTCGAAATTCAAAACGAATAACCTTAGCTAGAGATCGAAAAAAGACTGTTTAACTACTCATCATATATAAACTATGGGAAAAACCTTTGAGTGTCATATTAATATTTTTAAAGGCTTCGAACTAGGACAAACTAGTCGAGAAATAAAGAGAAGAAGTTGATATTTTTTATTGGATGCTCAGGTGCTATAAAATCAGATTTCTTAATCATGGGTATTATTTATCAAAGACGCGGCGCAGTAATGACAATAAATCTGATGCCCTATATATACACCAAAAAATAATTGTATATATGATAAAAATTTTCCAGACAGTAAGTTGCGGCAGATTAAAAAAGAAAGTCAACGATAATTCACGAGAAGGAATAGAAATTTGTCATTGGAAAATAAGAGAAAATGATAACCTGCCTATCTCACTTATTTGCATAAGCAAATAAAGTTAAAAAAGGGCTCGAAGGTATTAATGATAACTATACCGAAACCTAGGAAACGCATGTGAGAATAACAGTCACGACTCTGCGTTTTTTATTGACCACTCGTTCCATCCAGCTGGATAATATTTAGCCCTGAATATTAAATCGAAATGTAAGTACTTTTTAAAGCCAGCATTGTGAGCAATCTCGCAGGCTGAAGCGCCAGTAACCTCTTGCCACCCATAGAATATTACATTCTCCTGGGAGAACTGTGATTTTGTTATTTTAAAGTTTTCTAAGAACTCAGCATCTGGCAGCAGAAGGCACTTTTTGAGATCCCTTACTGAGAAATAACAAAAGAAAAGAGAATCCTACGAGGAATATTGATTGACCCAGGAATAGCGCCAGTTTTTTCAACATCTTTTGGGTTCCGCACATCTATTATCACTGGTGATTTTGACTCAATAAGACTTTGCAATTCTTGTTTATTGAGTGAAGCTTTGAAATAGTATACTTCATTCTTATCCCTAGGAGGTGATGGCTTTTCTTCAGCTACTTTATTGCTAGCAAACCTTGAGCTCATCGAATATGAGACTTCGGGTTTCAGCATTGCGTCATAACACCATTTTCTATTTTTGAGCGAAAACCGACAAAATCTCTGGGAGTTGATCGCAACATTCGAAGAGACAATAGATAGGCAACGAAGAGACATACCGCGGGGAAAAATCAACCAGACGAAGAAATAAAAATGCGGGATAAAGCAGTAGTTTTCTTCGCCTTTTACTACAATTTAAAACCATTTTATCTAAATCTTACATGTTTATATTTTCAAGAAACTATGTAATTTTTGAGGTAAATGCCAGTTAAGTGAAACTAAATTTAGTTACTAGTATAACTTTAATTACTAAATACTTAGCCGCGTAAACTTGAAATATTAATTTACACTTAAAGGATATCTTGTTATTTTAGGTTTGCTAGGCGAATAAGGTACTGTATTCGAATAAATGTATTTCAAATGATCTCTATTTCTAATATTAACAACGGATGAGCCAAGTAAACTTCAAATTTAATTATCAATTTAGAGTATAAGGGATGTATGAGCTTTATTTTTTTGTAATAATTGAGAGATTTTTACAAGCCTAACTTAC